TTTTTTTCTCATTTTTAACGGCATTTTGTTTGTTCCATTAACCTCCCATGCATGTTTTTGGGGTGCGGGAGGAAACCGTAGTACCCGGACAAAACCCACACAGGCACGGGAAGAACATCGAAACTCCACACGGGGAGGGCGGAACCGGGATCGAACCCACAACCTCCGCACTGTGAGGTTGACGCGCTAACCACTCGCCCACCGGGCCGCTTTATTTAATCTTTTACTCTTATTGCGGTTATTTTTTTTCAGTATATTTATTTTTATTTGTTGTATTGTATGTTGTTTGCATTATTTTATCTGTTTATCTTATTTTATCTATTTTTGCATATTTTTTTTAAATTTGGTGTTTTGTTTTGAAGTTCTATGATTGTATTCTCTTTTATTTGTGTTTTGTATGCTTCAGTGTATTTTTTTCATTCTTTAATTCATTTGTTTTCAGTGTTAAAGTCAAAAGACTGTTCTTTTTGAAATAAATATTTCGTAGTATTGTTTCAGTATTTTTTATTTTATTTTTTAGAATCTACCTTGTGCAGGTCAGTTTGTGTGTTTGTGATCTTTTTTTAAAAAAAACATATTTTGTTGTATCTGTTTGTTTTTTTATATACTGTATCTGCAGTTTAGAGTTTTGTGAGTTTTAAAATTCATTTGATTATTTCATTCATTTAATTCAGATTTGGTATTTTTTCCATATATCGTACGTCCGACTGTGGGTCTGTGTGCGTTTCTTCATTTTTTTTTTCGTCTTTTTTTTCTTTTTTTTTTTATTATCGTTACCTTCATTTGCTTTTTTTTTTGTGTTTGCGCATACGTGCACATGCAGTACCTCAACACGTTTTTCTGTACTGCATGAACACATGCACTCAGTCATTCCCAATACGGCAGCTAGTTATGTGACACACATATTAATCCCCCCCCCAAGGCAACATCGTGTCAATAGTCGGGAAGGTGCCTGCAGGACAGCGGCAGGAAACTGTCAGGCTGAGTTGAAGATGGTTGTGGTGGTGGTGGGGGGGTTTACAGTGAGGAGAAGGTGACGAAGGGGAGATACGGTCCTCCGTGTTGTAGGTTCTCACAAACGGGGGAGGGGTGGGGTGTGGGCTTGGCTCCACTCCCCTGCGTGTGCGTCCTTGGCTGAGTTTCTAGTTTGTGTTTATGTCCTCTTGCCACCTGTCTTGTCTTTTTTTTTTGTGTTTGCCCGCGCGTGTGCTTGATGCGCTCGTCGCCGCACGAGCTTCACGCACGCTTGTTTGCGGCGCGCTGATCGTGCGCATCGTTCGGAACTTCCTGCAGGTGAGGGGGGAAGGCAGGAGGTGGCGTATGAGTTTGAGGAAAAGGATGGGGAAGGACAAAGGAGAGTAAAGGTGAGGTGGGCAAGCAGGTGCGTGTTTGCGGAGAGTTGGGATTGTATGACTTCAGATTTTTTTTTTTGTATTGATTGTAGTTGATGCACATGTGGCGAAAGTGGAGTTGATGTTAAATAATCGATGATGTCATTGACTTTTTTTTTTTTTTCCCCAGTTGTCTTCTTGTTGTCCACGCCATTGCGGCATTCCGCTTCCAAAGCACAGGCTCACTGACTCGGTCATCCAGTCCCAGTCAGACACCTTCAAGGCCTCGCAGACCTTCGGAACTGATAGAATGCTGAACACAAAATTCACATCGACGCAACCACTTCAGCGCAATCATTTTTAAAACCTTACAGGAGGAGGAAATGCGCTGCAAAAAAATGGGGCCCAACAATGACGAACCCTGGCTACTGATTCTCCAATGGACTATTCAAGTCATCCGATCAAAAATGATTAGCCGCCATTCAACACAATAAGAGTAACATTTGTCCCCGTGGAAAAATGATTCCCACGAAGCTTCAACACAGAGACGTTGTGTTGCCGTTTTTTGGAAGTATTCAATTATTCCTTGCAGCCTTATTATTTTATTTGCTTTGTCACCTTTTATTACCTAAATCAAGTCATAGTTGGGTGAAGCATGTTTAAATACTTTGTACTTATCCACGTGGTCATTTGCAGGCTGTCAACTACACTCCAAGGCAGCAGGTGGCACTATAACTTGTAAACACGACGCCCTTTTACCCAATCAGACGCCAGAAGTGGCGCGTGTGGGCGTGGCTTTCATTCTCACCTCGTCACTTTTCCTTCCGCGTCAGGACACTGCTGAGCTCGACGTCACACTGCACATATTACGCTGTCACTCAAGTCTCCACGGACCCATCTGACCCACATCTTTGCCTCCCTCTGTTTTCGCTGTTGACCTTTTTTCGCTGTTGACCTTGCGTCCCCCCCCCCCCCCCCATCTTCTTCTTCCCTCTCCCGACTCCCCCCGACACACACGCGCGCTCGCCCTCACCCTCCCTTACGCCTCCCCATGCTGTTTCCATCCTGCTGGCTGTCTCTTAGCAACAACTGCACACCCGCTAGAGCTCTGTGAGTGCTTTTACAAACACACCCAAGAAGACGCGCGCGCCCGCGCAAACGCACGCACGCGCCCACACAACATTGAGTCTAGTTGCTCATTGAGCACTGCTGGCAGGCGTGTGTGTCTGAGACAGATGAGAGGGGAGTGCACATGTGCGGCACAATCCTTGTTTCTGTCGGGGGCAACGGGCCAAATTCTTGTGCGTGGTTTTAAACACACACGCACACGTAGACGTGCGCAGGCTGTTATGTAGTTGCTAGTCTTTGTCACACACAACTTGCCTGAATTTGGTGCGAATGAAGATGAATTTATCGGATTGGTGGCTGATTGAGGCCAAAATTGTTTGCTTAGACAATGAATCTGACACACACACGCACGCACGCACGCACACACACACACACACACACACACACATATATATATATATATATATATAAATTTGAATGTGTGTTCTTGTGTTTTTGTCTTTATGTGCAAATACGGACGCGTGTAAAGCTGTTGTGGCATTTTTGCACGTGCGTGTAAGTGTGCGCATGTCGTTGCCGCGTGTCGCTCACAGCGTGCAGTGTGTGTGTGTGTGTGTGTGTGTGTGTGTGTGTGTGTGTGTGTGTGTGTTGTGTGTGCACATTTAATTAAAGCATATGTTGGTCTCACCGTCTCTCACACACACACACACGCACACACACACACACACACACACACACTTACGGGTCAGAAGGATGATTAATTAATGAATGCGGTTAATTAGAGAAGGGAGGAAGAAAGTGTGGAGAGGATTAATAGGGGTGAGGTTGGAGGAGAGAAGTAGGGGCCTGAGCGATGTCGATTTTTTTAGGCAGTTGCAGGTATTGGCAGAATACAATCCCGATAGCCGAAACATTTTTTTTTCAGTAAAGTTGCACGATCGACATGAATTACAAGGCAGAACATTTGACTGTTTTTCAATACTTTGCCCTTTAGTATTCGTTTAACTTTACACCAGAAAGATCATTTCAATCCATCTATTCCACAACGGGCGATTATTTCAAATCGACAGGCAGGAAACAAACCAACTTATATTCATTACGATTCAGTTTGCGCCGTAACTTGTCAGAAAATCGGTAAAAATGTTACTCGTTGTTTTCCGCTGTTAATGTCGATTTTTTGGGGGGTGGGGGGGTTTCCTTTTCGTTGTTGTTGATTCAACACAAAGTCTGCTTTCATGGGGGAACCACAGCAAATGTGAGAAAATTCACTGTTAAGAGCGTTGCGTTTGAAAGTATGTTTGTCGAATGTACCTTTTCTTATGTTAGCCCATTTCTTCCATCTTTGTGGCATCTTCCACATTTTTCCTCTTACGTTCTCACACATGCAAGACACTCCTCCCGCCTCAACTCTCTCGCTCGCTTCCCCCCCCCTCGCTGCTGCCTCACTAATCACGGCCATATGTTGGCGAGGGAGGCGCAGAGGTGTTGTTGTGGACGCCATTGTGTCTTTCAGTGTGCACGTGTAACTTACACACACACACACACACACACACACACACACTCTCTCTCTCATCCTCATCCTTTCGACTGCCACCTCGACGTCTTCATCCGCTTTGCACTTCTATCCACATCGCCCCTCTGCTCCCCCCTGGCGGCTGCTATTGTATCTGCACAACACAGCAACAGCTAAGTGACTCCAGGCTGCTGATTCTTCTTAGTCCATTTACATTGTGAGTTCTACCGCAGCCCGTTAAGGCAGAAAAGCCGGAATTAATGGCCCATACCAGTTGGTTGCTGCCACTTTAAATTCACGAGCGCAATGCTAACAGAAGCAAAATAATTGGAAGTATTTGAAAACAGTCCGAAAATGATTCCCAAACTTTCCTTTGCTCCCCGTTGATCCGGCAAAGCCTAAATTAATGGGACCTCTAGCTGGTTGCTGCCACACTTTAAATCCACACTAGCCCTCTAAAATGCCCCAAGTGATTGGAAAATATTGAGTAAATGCTTTGTGCTAGCTACTGCAGCCCATTTTAGCAGCACAGTCAAAATTCCTGGCGCATTCCAGCGAGTTGTTGTTGCTGATTAATTGATGTTGAAAAAAATGAAGTCACTCCTTCCATCTAATTGGGCCACAAAATTTCCTCCATTTGTTGTTTATGTGTCCAAATTCCACCGCAACCCATTTAGGCAGCAAAGCATGATTCATTGCGCATTGCAACTGGCACCTTCTGCTGGTTCCTGCCTCTCTTGATCTGCAGTTGTTTGCTAAAAGGTCCTGAATGATGGCAATTTTTTTCAAACGAACTTTTCCAGTCTGTTGAGGCAGTTGAGCCTCAATAAATGCTACGTTAGAGTCTACGGTAACTACCGTAGTTTAACTACATGATAGCCCGCTTAGAAGTCCAAAATGAAATGTCAACTTTTTGATTTGCCCGTTGAGGCAGCAAAGCGGTTACGCAGGCATAGCAGGTCACATTCCAAAATAACCGCAGCTTCACATTGTACTTGTCTCTGATACTCCTTTGTTTTCTACTCTGCTTTCCTTCACCTTCACCCTCGCCTCTGTCCCAGCCGTTACCCCCCCACCCCCACCCCCTCCCCACACTCATTCCCCCGTCCCACAGCGCACGGCGTCTCCCGCTCTCAGCTACTATGGGCCATGTAAAGAGCAGAAGGGATGTGGCTGGACAGAGCCAAAGTGTGCGAGTTGCTGCTGTTGCTGCTGCTCCTGCCCACTGCAGTATTGATGACCCAATGATCCCCTGCAGAACTCCGCCAGCCGGGCAGACAGAGTGAGGTGAGCCTCGGAATCCGAATCAGCCGGCAAGCCCACGGCGCCGCCCGCTCGACTGGGACGTGAATGGTAAGTGCGGGACTAATTGTCATGCTGCGACGTGGGCGGGGATGCTTCGTAAAATGAAATACACGATGTCGCGCATTGTGTAAAACGCAGTGCAAAAAGTCTTACACCAGATTTGTTGTTTTATAGACTGTTTTATTTACTCACCTGCAGTTGGTGGTAGAGCTGGAGGACTTTTAATTTTGCGTATTTTCAGAGGGCTGTTAAACTCCTGCAGCGATGTTAAATTCATTTTAAATGAGAATTGAGTTTAAAAGCAAATGAACTGTGACATGGAAAGACGGTTGTGCAGTATTGTGGCGCGTCCAATTAATCAAACATTGCGGGGTGATCACACGTCAGCGCTTGTTTTTAATACCCGAGTATAAACCCCAGATTTTTACAACAAGTCTCCATACTTTAATTAATCGGTAAGTGGTTACATGCTCGATACTGCTGTTTTGGTTAGCAACAGAATTCAAATGGCTTCAGCGGTTGGGATACGGGTGATTACAGTTAGTACACTTTTTGTTTGTTAAATTGACAAAAGGCACACCGGCCGACTAAAAAGATGGACAGCCACTATTTGACGAAAGGAGATGACCGATGATGTGTTTGCATCTTCAGGTTTTTAAATCTTGGCAAGCTGCAGAGGACATCCAAATCAAGGCCCACTCGAGCATGTCCACTGGATGAGTGTTCTGTCCGCACATTTGCACACTGGACAAACTGTGGGCAGCGGAACAGAAAAAGCCTACGTTGGCGAAGGGCCTGAACCTTGGCCCACAGGGCCCCTGGCTCACGATGACCTACTGCCGGTGACCGCAGACCCTTCCTCCGCAGCCCCCACGCTGGCCAACGGCGTTCACCTGCAGCACAGGGGCGGGCATCGCACCTACCCACCAAGGCGGGCAGCGACTGGCGCGGTACCACCGGAAAGCATGCAAACACGCATCGACACACAGAGCCTTTCTAATGCCAGTTTGGACTCTTGTGGCTCCGTGCGGGCCCAACAGTCCAAAACCCTAAGCCAGACGTCACCTCTGTCCTTGTCTTTAGCGCTTGGCAATCATCCGACTTCCGCTAATCAGGCGCCGGGGCGGACCCTCGCTTCAGAAATGGAGATACCTGCAAATGTTTGTCCCAGCACGAGCTCGTCGCCTCTCATTGTGGAGGCCGAGAGGAAGTATGCGCTGCGCAGCTCCGGGCGTTCCCGTTTCCCCTGTCATGTGCGCAAATCCTCCCGCCTACGCCGAATGCCGGAGGACAGCAAGAGGAGAGCGGAGAAGGAGAGAGCAGATGAGGAGGCGGTCGACAGTTCTGATGAGAATATCTGGAGGGTTAAAGAGGAGCAGGTGGAGGAAGTGGTCCCGAAAAAGGCGCAACCATCCACGGAGACGATCATCCCCGCAGCTCCCAGCCCTGCAGACGTTCCTCTTGCACTAACCGTCCCCAAACCCATCCCCAAAGCGCCTCCAAAAACTGGACCCAGACTCGGGCACAGACCTGGACCTAAATCTCGCTCTAGGCCTGCTCCCAAGTCAGTCCAGAAACCTGGTCCGAAAAGTGTCATGAGACGGCGTTTGGCAGCACAAGCTGCCTTGCAATGTGGTGCCACTTATCGCCCACCGCCCCCCATACCGGTGCCACTCGTGAAAAAGGACCTGGAGATTTTCTCTCCCAATGGCCGGAGGTGTGGACGTTTTGTCGGAGTGAGTTATTTGACATTTTTGGTGCTAAATAAAAATCTTTTGCATGTCTGGAAGAGGTGTCATGGCAACTTTTCCCTACCTGTGTTTTACACATGTTCTGTGCTGCACAGGTGAGGAAGATCGTGGTCAAGGTGGCTCGCATTCCTGTCAACCTTGGACGGCGACAGAAAAGCTACAAGATCTCCAATTTGGAGACAATCAGGGCACCGGAAAAGGGGAATGGCGGTACTGCGGAGGGCCCGCAGGTGGTTAAGGAGCCAACGGCGCTCCTCCGCATGAAGAACAACGGCAAGAGCGTCATTGTCATGTTCCCACCCGGAGAACTGCCTCTTATTGTTAAACGCAGGCGAGGGCGACCGCCCAAACAGCCGTTGCTCATGATAGCAGGGGAGGGCCCCGCTCCTTGTGGCGACGGAGACCAGCTCAAGAAGCCTCGGAAGAGGCGGCGGCCCAAACTCCCTTGCCCCTATCCGTCATACGGGGACGCAAATGACGTGAAGACCGAGTATGGGGATGTCCTATCGAAACTGGCTTTTTTGAACCATCAGCCGCCCCCCACTGGCCAATGCTCCCCCCACCGCTGCTGGACACCCAGCGATTCGGAAAGTTTCCATACCGCCTCAGAAAACCCGGCAATATCCACCCTTCTACAACGGCTCACTGGGTCCAGGCGGCCTCGGGGCAGTAGAGGAAGGGGTGCCGGAAGGGGCGGGGGTGCTGCACAGGGTGTCGAGGACAGCGAGCACAATAACAGCACCTTCTGTGAGTTCTTTGGCAAAAAGCGCAAACCCAGCACCCTCTCTGAGCACGGATTACCAAGAAAAAGGGGGAAGGGTGTCGGGGGTGTCGGTAGAGGAGGGGGTGTGGTCGGAACCGAGCCCGGAGGGGAGAAAACCGTTAGAAAGAGGCGAGTGAGGAAAAATGGCGCATTGAAAGGCGAAGGGGTTTGCCTGGGACAGGAATGGCCCAATGGTTCTGGGGGGTGGGGGGAAGAGGACGCTGAAAAATGCTACCAGATCTGCGGATCCACAAGGGGGGGCATTTCCTCCTGCGAGGTCGGCAGGAGAGGCGCCTACGGCCGCGGAAGCAGAGGGGTCCGGCAAGCCAGGGACGATTCACAAAGTCTGTTTGCGGGCTATTTCCGATCCTTGCTGGACTCTGATGACTCAAGCGAACTTTTGGACATCTCGCAATCAGATGTACGGAAAGCTTCATCCGGTCACAGTTACGAACCATCCGGCCAAGCGACCGCTCACCGGTGGTCCCCGGCCATGTCGAAATGGGGAGCCAGCGGTGCAAGTTCTGCAGCGGATGCTCCCGTGCAGACACACTGTTCCTCTGCCGGGCCTCCTTACAACTATGCCAGCCAGACTCAAACATCCCCCACCATTTGCACCTATCCAAAATCCAGTCTTTCGTCCCTCTCGCAGTCTCCCAGTTCCCCCCACCCTGCTGGCTATGGCCACTACTCTCCCGCCTATGCTGCCTCTTCTTGTGGAGGGCCCCAGAGATCCTCGGAGTGCAGTTTTTCCCATAGCAGCGGTGGCAAGACCGGAGTTAACGACCGTGGTCAGGTGGGCTTCTCCGGCTACCAAGCAGGGGCCAGGAAGGGCTATGGTGGAAGTCCCGCCCCAGGCCCCACGTCACCAGGTGGGGGTTACATGACGGTGGCCAAAAGCAGCCCCTTTAGCTCCTCCTCCTCACCAGAGTGTTACAAACAGTACAACAGCAACCAGTGGAGCTTCAGGTAAGTCTTTGCGAGAAACGATGCAACGACACAATGTCCTGTTTTCTAATATGTTGCCGTGTCATTTATTTTAAAGACAAAGTTGCGGCGGATGGTCAGCGGACAATTGTGGGCCTCACGCTTACAACGAATATGGTTCCAATGAACCAAAGAACATCTTGGACATCTCCAACTACACCCCGCAGAAGGCCAAGAGGCCCCCTTTCCCAGAGAGTCTCTCAGAGTCTTCCTCCGACTCCTCGCATCCCGGCTCAGGAGCAGCTGGAAGCGGACCTCCTTCCATGGGGGGAATCTTCAAGCAGAGTGAAACGGCCAGCGGGGAAGGGGCTCAGTCCAGTCTGTCCAGCCTGGAAAAACTGATGATCGACTGGCACGAGAGTGCTTCGGCGCCATCCTACAACTGGAGCCAGAACGTCCTCTTCCAGGGCGGCGGGACCAGCAAGCCCGGCCGGGGGCGCAGGAAACGGACTGAACAGTCGGAAAAAGAAGGGGGCTCTGTTTTACACTCGGATTCCCCATCCAGTCCTTCACCAACACTCACTACTAAGCGGGGAGGGTCCGGAGGACGTGGCCGAGGGTCCAGAGGAGGCAGAGGGGGCTTGTCCGGGAGCTCGAGAGAGCGTCTTTCGGGATCCAAAGGCAGGGGGAAAACTTCTTCAGGTCTAGAGGCTTCTGGCTTATTCCAGGAGGGTCTGGACTACTACAGCGGGGACAGTAGCAGCCTCTCTCCCTTGGCCACTCCCAATTCCGCACCCCCTTCCAACTACCTCCAGGATCCCTGCGAGTACCCCTCCCCTTATTCTGCCCACCCCTCCACGCCATCTTCTGAGGAGCGATATCCAGCCTTGTACCCCGGGGAGTCCTCCTGCTCCATGTCACCCAGTGTGTCTTCTCCCTCTTACCCCTCCAAACCCCAGTCCTACCACCTTGTTCCCCCCAGAAACTTCTCCCCATCCTGCTCCCCTCTACCACGGGTAACACCCCACTGCAGCTCTGCAATGAGCCCCTCATACCGTCCCCCTCCTAAAGAAGTGCCGTTCTCCCAGTACGATTCCCCCAGTTACTGCAGCTCGCCCTACTGGTACGGACAAACGTCGCACAGCAGCTCCCCCAGCCCGAGTACCCACCCACACACGAGTCCGCACGGCAACACCCACGGGAACCTGCTGGCAAACCCAAACGCGCACATGAACCCACCTCCTCACGACCCGCAGCAGCATCACCTGAGCCCCCACGTCAAACCCTACGCAGGCAACACCCTCGCTCACACCCACGCCAACAATCAGTCTCATCACTCAGCACAGGCCGCCGCCCACCCGGCACCCTCGCTCTACGACGACGGCGGTGCCGCGGCTGCCCACAAGCAGGAGCTGATGTCGCGCCAGGGCCTCCTGACACCACCGCCATACTCCAAAAGCGCACTGGAGGATGACTCCGGCATTTACTCACTGTCCCAGTTTTCCTGCCAAGCCATGGGGCACCGCTACCCGTCATCGCAGGGAGGCGGGGTGCTGTGCCAGCTTCTGGACAAGGGCCACGATGACGGCTTTAGCGTGACCAGCCTGTAACAGCAGGTGAGTCATTCATGTCTGTTTAGTTACTCAGGAGAAGTAATGAGGATGATAGTACATTTTTTTTTGTGAGCTGCCCATATGTGTTGAAGAGAGCGTTGAGATTTTGTCCCTACTGTTACATCACAGGGGGGGCTAATTTACATAACCCCACCCTCGCATCCGTTTTCTCCACTGGTGGTTTGGTAGTTAACTGGGTGAAGACCCTCCATTTTCTTTTTGGATTACATGGAACCACTATCAGGTCAGCATGGTGACTTGATAGTGAAAAACAGCAAGTCCACCTTGCAGTTTTAAGATTCTGGCTGCTGTGAACAGGGCTATTTAGAGAGAGGCTGATAAGTGTGCTTTCATTCTTGACCCGCGGGCTGTTTTGACAGAAGCATGACACATTTTACAAAGACACTTGCAACCAATATTGTAATTTTAAACGTCTCACGTCAATGTCTTCCTTTTGCTTTGTTCCCCTTCTGCTTGCAGGTGCGTTCAATCTGCCCTTTTTTGAAGCATTCGGGTTTTTTTTCCCCCTCGCTTTTGTACGCTTTGACTTTTTTGTGGAAGGCTGAAAAAGGTGAGAATTTTTAGCTGCCAGCTTTTTGGGGGACAGTCGAGCTTTAATTCTCCAGCATTGACAATCAAGATCAACGTGCGAACACACCCGCAGACGCATGTGCACAAAGAATCATAGCAAGTTGGACTCCAAACAGTCCCGCATTTTCTTTTTTTTAATTCACGTCGCTTTTTCTCTCCCCCACCTCGTTGTCCTTCCTCAACGTTCCCGCCTCTTGCCACTGTGCACGCTTTGAAAACGCCCGCCGTCGCCTCCTTGCGTGGACCACCCCCCCACCCCCTCCCCCGCTCTTCTTGAGACACCAGCATCTGTACATACTATCTTACATGCTGTCTGTTACTGTCTTAGTCCACTCAAAGGACCCAAAGAGTCGTGTCTGTGTGTGTTTGAGCGACTGCAGTCAATGCATGTATGCGTGCGTGTGTGTGCCGGTGGGGTCCTGAACTAGTGGGCTTTCTTTCACTCTCTCCCTTCTCCTTTCTGTTCCGTGGTCTCGTTGTCGTCGTTTGGTGGGTTTTTTTGTGACGCGAAATTTCCCTCCCAAAAAGCAAAGTTGTATATCTGTCCGTTACATATGTATGTATGTATGTATTTATGTACCTGAGGTGCAAAAATATTGAAATACACATTCTGTTCTTGCCATTGGTAATGGCGTGTGCGTCGTGTCTAATTAACCTCCACCCCCACCCAGCAAGTTGGGCTTTACTCCGATTGTCTGGGAGCGAGAACGAGAGTTCAGACGAGGACATCAATTGGGAAGGGGAGGAGGAGCGAGGCGACAGAGGAATGGATGAATGCTTGGGAGAATGTCGGAGCGAAAGCAGAGTTGTTTAAGATTCGTCGCTCCGGTGACTTGATAGACGGAGGAGTTGATTGGCCGCGTGTTGTGTTTACACATTGTCAACCGTCTTGACTAAAACGATTGCGTTTGCTGCGGGCAATTGCAATGTACAATAGCTGTCGCCATGATAGGACCTGATTGAAACCATAATAGGGAACTTAAATTCATTGTGTTCTGTAATTATATTTTGGGAGGAAATGTTACAAAAGCAAAAAAGAAAAAAAACATGAACGCTAGTGTCTAGGGAGGAAAATTGTGCTTTAAGTGCCCGACAAACTGTTAATGACCACTTTCTGTTGTTGCTAGGCGATCGCATTCACACCGTGCACACTTTTTTTCAGCCCTAATGGCTTCCTTTTATGATATTGCCACCTAAAAAGGTGTAACCAAAACAAATATTAGTGCAGCAGCAGGCGTACTCCGTTTTTTAATATTCATGTGTCTGTCTGCGGCTCCTGAGTTGCTTAGGAACAAGACAACGTCGGCATAGTCTCTAATTAGCATAGCATTACTAATGTGTACGATTTTATGCAATCTGTAAAATATTTATTGAAAATCCTGTTGAATGCTTAATAAAGTTACAATACAAAAACATTTCACAGGACAATGGGGACACTGGGTCGCGCGAATGTGACGTCACCGATTCCGGCTCAGGTTAGAAAGGGGAAAAAAAGGTCCCCGCTGGCTGTGGAATGTGCATCACAACTCTTCGCCCCCGGGGTGTGTGAGCCGAGGGAGGGGAAGACGCCAGAGTGGGGGTCGAAGGTGGGGGGGAACTCTCAATCGCAGCCCTCCAGAGCAAAGCACAAGCGATACCAACACTGGAGCCACGCGGCGGCGGCAGTGGTGCCCACAAGTGGCGCTGCTCCCCCCTGTCGCTGCTCTTGTTGCTCACCTACCAGCTCGCTGCATTCGTGCAGCGAGAGCCGACGGGGAGCAGCCGAAATCCGGAGGGAAGTTCCGAGAGGGGGCGGCCCGGAGGAGCGGCCAGCCGGACGACGGTTCCGGCCATGGAGGAGGCGGAGGGAGCACGTGCGTTCGTGTACGAGGACGAGGACGAGATGAACTGGCGCACGGTGTACAGTAAAGTGTCACGAGAGAAAATGTCACAAGGGTGTGCAGGTAACAATTTTAGTACTCTCTGAAATATTTCTTCGGAATATTATATTGTTTTTATGACCAATATATCCCAGGAGAAATTAAATTTGACTGTCGCCTCACTCGTAGGATTGAACAATTTTGAGAAATGGGCTCATTCAGACCCCCCCCCCCAATATTGCGATTTAACATCCGATTATTTTTTTCAAGGCTCGTATATTTTTCAACAAACGAGTACAAAATGTATCTGTATTATAATATCAGATTTATTGCACACGTTTTTGTTTTATAAATTAGGCTTCCGCTAAATGAAAGGAAAATTAACTATGAATTCATACGAAAGGCAATTTATCTTCTACTTCTGTTAGTTGTTGATTTACCAAAAACATATTGACCTGTAGTCTTTTAAGCATTCACTACGACATCATTTTCTACCAATTCGAACAGAAATTGAATTCAGCTGCAGTGCGATGTGGATTTGAATTTGATTCATTTTTAATGTCCTTCTTAACAATTGTTTTTTAACTGCAAACTCTCCCTTAATTTGAGTAGGCAAATGTTAGTTGTTTTGATTCATTTACACGGTCCAGACATGAAAGAACAGTTGAAATCAGATATTTGAGCGGGCCGGAGGACAACTTTTCCCATCCTGTCTCTTTCACAGGTTGGCCTTCACGAACTCCATCAACGTGTCCTCTCAAAGTCCTCAATAACCCCCCCCCCACCTCTTCTTTTTCCCACTCTTTTTTCTGCTCAAGGCTAAACTCTCTGACTCATTCCTGTGATTCATCCCCCCCCATCCTGCTACTTATTTCTGTTGCCATGGTGACCAAAGAGCTCAATCTGGGTTGGAGGGCGCTGAGGGCAGCTAGAGGGTTCTTTGTATACATTGGTGCATTAACTCATCACCTCAGGTGTTTCGGTCAATAGCCGCAGTCCTCAAAACTTTTTTGTGCCATGGGACAGGTTCAGGCACTGGCATAGAAACAATTAAATCAATTGATTTAATATATATTCTCTTTAATGAGTATCATATATAACCTTGTTTTAAACTCAGGTTATGTATTTATTTTATTTTATTTTTTTATTTTTTTTCACAAGAGTGAGTGCGTAGGTGGTGATTCCAGTAACTCTAACTCATATTTTTCTATGACTATAGAGAACAATATAGATTGTGTTACTGTATGTATTCATATGTTTTTGTGTGGCTAGGTTGGACCGCAGGCCTTTGGAGCTGCAGCCTTGGGCTGAAGACAAGCCATCTTTCTCTGCAGAACTCGACCGTTTCATACTTTATGTCAGTATAACCGCAGGCAGGCGTCACAGGTATACACATATGAGAGACAGAGAGCGAGAGAGTGAGAGAGAGAGAGAGAGAGTGCATTAAAGAAATAATCTGAGTGAGAGAGTCTTGATTTGTGTGAGATGGTGTGTGTGTGTGTGAGAGAGAGAGTTTGGGACTGTGTTTGTATGAATGAAAGAGTGAGAGTGGGTGTGTGAGGAGCAGAGTGTGAGCGTGTGGATGAGAAAGTGTAGTTTGGTGTCTGTGTGTGAAAATGAGCATGAGAGAGAATGTGTATGGGTCTGCATTTGTATTTCTGTGAGAGAGTTTGTGTCTATTTGTATGTTGGGTTGAGTGCATGTGTGTGAAATTATACGTGATAGGGGGAGGGAGAGAGAGTGTGCAACCGTGTGTGTGTGTGTGTGTGTGTGTGTGTGTGTGTGTGTGTGTGTTTCAAAAAAAGATAACGTTTATGTGTGGAAAGGATAGAATATGTGAGAGCATTAGTGTGAGTGCCCATGGATGCTCTCCTCCCCTTCCACCCAGCAAGGATGACGGGGACGATTCTTTCCTCAGGACTGCGTCATCTTTCGGCTGCGACGCCCACCGCTTTGATCACAGTGGCGCAGGTGCATATGTTGGTCACCGAAGCAACACTTTGGCCTGGTCGCCACGGCGACCCAGCACAGAATGTGGTTGGAGTGGCGGACGTCGCCAAGGAAGACGCACAGCAGGCACCACGCCGGCACGTTGGTCGACATCATGCCCGAGCTGGGACACGTCACGGTAAGGCACACACACACACACACACTCACACCTGCGCATGCACACGAGCGCACACAAACACACACACACACACACTCACTTTCTTTGTTTCTTTCTTTTTTTTTTTTTTTTTATGGGGTCCTAAGCAGATATACCTTGGAGCCCTTTATAAACACAAAGATGTCATACTTATACTTATGTTCCTATAGCAACAGAGCTCTGCGCCATCCGTGGCTGCCATGGCAACAGCTCCTTCAGGCTCATTTACAGTCTGTAGTCACAAGGGGGCCCCACATCACCACTCTACAATCAACCTATGAGGGCATTTGTTTTATTGTTCCTCATCATTTTTATCATTGTTTTTGTCATAAAACTATTACACTATTAACTGTTAAAATGATTTTTGAAATGTTTTTAGTCATGATTTGATGACACACAATCCAAATTAATTTGAATGTAACTTCGTGAGTGATGACTTGTGATGATATATTCATTAATAAATGATTTTTAAAAGTCATTTCAATTCAATTTACAATTTATAATTAATTTAAAAAGTACTTTAGATTAAATTTTAAAATATGTGTCTTTGTTTGACTAGTCCAAATGGTCGTTATAACCACCAATTAAATTAAAAGTACATCCAACTTGCCCATTGGAAAGTTAAAGGATACAGTACATGCAATTAATTACCCCTAATGAAAATAAAGAAATAAATAATTTTATTTTTAGTCTACTAAAACTAAATAAGATTTTCCAAAAGTCCACTGGAAAATTAAAATGAAGTCAAATTTTTGCTACCGCATGCAATTAAAGTGAAATGAGTTTTCCATTGATCATTTTCAAATGAATTTCAGATTAAAATTCCACATTACTTTATATTTTGTCAAAGTTCTACTAAACCTAAATTAAATCTCTAATACAGTCTAAATGTCAAATACAATGAACTCAATTGCCAAGTTTTCATTTTGCCACTATTTGATGAGCACTCCAAATTCAATTTAAAATCTAATTCAATTTTAATCAAACGTTCACGTTTCATAATATTTGGTGAGCAATCTGAATGCACAACATGAAACAAATACAATTGTGTCTGTCGCTGTCTTCTAATAATTTGCTGACTTCATTATGAAATATTATAATATTATAAATATTTACTTTCCGTTGCATTTGCCTTCCTAGGTCCACTTCCTGTACATTGACCTCGTGTGCACCAAATGGTGCGTCTTCCAGAACTGGATGAAGCTAGGAACACTGCATCACGTGCACCACGTGGTGGCCCGGGTGCACCTGCAGTGGGCTGGATTCGATGTGGGGGGCGCCGACGAGCAAGTGCTGCGCTATTGGTTCAGCGTGCTGCAGGGGCTGCAAGCCACCGGGCTGCGGCTGGTGCACAGCAGCAGCGGCGAGGGACGCCGAGGGCTAAAACGTGATGGCGGCAACGCCCGCAGCTTTTACACGCTTAGCTTCGTCAACACCAGACAATGACGTCCGTCAGCTCATTGTACGTTTCATTAGGTATGCAAAAAAATAATTCTGAAAAGCTCTCATTTGGCCTCAAATGAGTATTCGTTATTTTAAAAGCCTAGAGAAATAACACATTCATTTTTTTTTTTAACTTCATGAATTTCGGGTGTTTACATTTTTTTGTATTTTGGCCTTTTGACAGGGATATGAAAATATTGAATTTGTGTTAGACTAATGAGGTAAAACGATTTTTTTTTCAATATTAGGCATGTTCAATACCATTACGAGTATTCACTCTTGAGTACTCAACAATCAAGTACCGATACCACTTGTCGACTTATGATACATAAAATGTCAATTAACACAATAATTGTGAATGACAACATTTCTGACGCTCTGATTTATTTATTTTTTTCTTACAGTATTGGTGGCTGTTATCGGCATCTTTCACAAGAACCCGATACCATGCAGATACTGATACCTGGTATATTACTATACTCACCCATCCCTAAATTATTATTTTCTTCTATTTTTTTCGGGCATGTATTACGGTCATTGATGGAAATAGAACAAACATAAGTATTTATTAAACCTATAAAAAAGTTACTGTTAAAAAAGGAAAAAAAGTTCAATAATAATATCTAAATCCAAATTTTAAAAAAAATAATTTGGATTTATTTTTACCTCTCAATGACCATAAAATAAATATACATTTTTCAAAACATAAATAACAAATACAAAAACTTAAATATACAAATACAAAAAGTAAAATGAATGAAAATTTGAAGGGACAAAATAATAGTTTCCAAAGTGTGTTAAATGCTCTAATGTACGCATCTCCAAGTCTGGTCTTTTATGAGTGCCTATCCAGCCTGTTTTATATGTCACGTTGTTCCAAAACACCTGATTCAAATGAACTGCTCTCCTCCAGCCAAGTCGGCCGCTGGGTCGGAGACACGCCCACAATTAGGTGACATAAAACAGGCTGGATAGGGGGTGCCCAGGACCAGACTTAGAGACCCCTGACATAAAGTAACCAAAGCCATAAAGTAACCAAATTAGAACAACCCCAGTCATACAAATACTTTTATATCTGCATCAACCAAAAGAATGATGCATTTTTAGGCGTGTTGCAGTGTTTCGGTGCCCCTAATAAAGTGTCCGGTGTGTGTATTACGCCATCTAGTGGACAAAATGGATGGCCTACTTTATTGGTCTTTGCACTGCAGATAAATAGTGCAGTAAATAAAGGATATGAAACAAATATATAGTCTTGCTGAATACAATATGAACATTTGAAATCCTCACTTCCACTAGTAATTGTTTAAAAACATTTGTTTTTCAATTCCCAGATATTGTCATGTTTTCCGTATTTAAACAGCCAAAGTTTTTAGACTCACAAGTTAAATTTGATCGCTGAGCAGACATACAAAAAGGCAGCTGGGAACATTCTGTTTTGTCTGTCTTGTTAAATTCTGTGTCAAGCTGACATGGGGTGAGCCCATTGCTGTCTTTATACGGTCATTTTTTTCTGCTTGTTGCACATGGGATGAGTCCAACGAATGAAAGTGTGTCACATTGTCTCAGTTACGGCAGATTTTTTTTTTTTCTTTTGGGCGGTCCCAGTCTTTTTCTAATTTCCCATCTTGGTGGATGTAGAAAAAGGCCAGGTTGGACACATATCAACTGAATCATACATCAAGGATGTTACTGTGAGCCTTTAAGATTACACCCGCTGTGTGTGTGTGTGTGTGTGTGTGTGTGTGTGTGTGTGTGTGTGTGTGTGTGTGTGTGTGACTGTGTTTATTTTTTTACACTGATGTTTTAGGGGGAAGTAAATGGAATGGTCACGAATTAACATAATTTCATAGAAAGGTCAAAGGTGAGATTCAAACGCTTACAACCGCGAGGCAGATTGACTAACCACTGCTCGTTACCCATATTCCCTTTAAAACTAATGGCATTATGTCTTCCAATGTTGTGTACTAAATTAACTGTTTCTGACCAATAACTCATTCGTGGATTTGAGTAACTGAGGTGAAACGTCACTTTGACCTAATTTATCTCCCTCCCTCACCCGCCCTCCAAATTGACTTTTCGTCGTCGGAGGCCAATCCTGCCATTCCTCTGACGCGCTCCAACTCGCCGGAGCGCGCATTGGAATGCGCGCCGCCGCCCTCCCTCGTTTACGCAAATGGCGTAAAGTTGTTGGCCATAAAGTCGCGGTGGAGTTACGTCAGCGTAAGTCATAAGTGTCAACCACCTCCGCCCGTGACAGCCACTTCAGCCAATCAGCTATCAGGATCACGACCGTTCAGCCAATCCCGAGCCGGCAAATTCGGGACCTTGCCCTCGCCCGCTTGACTGCTTTCCCCGTCCGCGTTCGCTTAACTCACTGTAACCGCTTCGAGTGGAAAACTTTTCAAGTTGGACAAACGAGACAGTTAAAGAGGGAGCTTCGCTGCGACGGTAAGCCAAAAATAAAGCCACGACACGGCTTTTTGTCGTGAAAAACGAACGACCGTTTGGCTGGTTTTGTTCGAAACAAGAGTTCGTGTCCAAGTCACTTCCTGCTCTTGACAAGCAGGCCAAGAAGCCAAGTTGCATTCTTGCTAGTTTGAGTTAGCTTCGTCTCGATTGGCGCTCTTCGTACATTTTCATTTTCAGAATAACGCAGCTGAACTACTTTTCCGGGGTAGTTCGGGACCCTGGATGTGCTATGTAAGGGTCAGAACATGTCCAATATGTCATTTCCATCGCGGGGTAGCAAGTGGGGCGCGGCAAGAGACTACATGGCCCCTGTGAAACAACATTCGTTCGCAGTTATACCACGTTAAACAAATATGAAAAAAAAATAGCATTCCACACACTTAAAAAAATACCCGACGCAAACACATGACAGCCACACGGGAATAAAAAAAGTTGAAAGAATTTGTTCTAAAAAAATTACTGTGGGGCCCCATGAAAAGCTTATAATTAGGCAACCCAAATGGGGCAAAGGAAGCTGAATTTGAAAGTCACTGCACTGACATTCTGTCATTTGGTGCATAAATGTACCTAGCGTAGGCCAGAGGAATTTGATCTTATGCTAAAATCCCGCTTATAGAAAAAGCAACTGTCAATGACTAATTCGCTAAGTTGGCAGCACTGACTGTGCTCTCTACTCTCTGTTCACAGCCACGTTGTTAGTGTAAGCCTTGAACTGACATAAGTTTAATAGATTAATTGTAAAGCCCTAGAAAATAGACTATCTTGCGTTGAAAGTGTACATTTTTGTCCTGCATCATTGGCGCACTCAAAATAGTTCACCATCGAAACTGGTGACGAGAAGAAACAGTGAGTTCTGCTTCTGCTTTACACTGTCTGGCAGAGAGTTTATTTATATATGGTGACTACAGCTCACATGCAACTACCACCCACAAAAGCTAAAATTTAGCCTTTTAGAGACAATATATTACTATAGTTTTACCCCTCTCACGCGCTGTGAACACATTTCAACTTATTAAAACACAACTTTGGCCTGTTAAAATATACTTTTTTTCCATATTCCCCAGCGCATGTTTTTACTCTTTCCCTCACACTTCTCCAAACAAGAGTGTCAACATGCTTGCTTTAGGCTATTTGTCAGTCCCAGTTGAAGTTTACTCGAAAATTATGAAACTGAAGGCGCCTAACTCTAAATTTGGACGTGCACGAAAATAAGCAAAGGAGCCCTAATACAAAGTTAAAAAATACATGGCTTTATTGATTATTTCCCCCCCCCCCCCCTGTTCTCAGGGTTTGGCCCCCCCTCTCTCACTGGCCAAGCCTCCTCCACCGCCATGCCTCTGGTTACCAGGAACATCGAGCCACGGTATGTGTGCCGCCAGCCCATCCCGGCGAGCATCCGCAGCGAGCTGGAATGTGTCTCCAACAACAGCCTGGCCGCGGTCATCCGCCAACTCGGCTGTCTCAGTGAGTGTGCCTGCTGCGTGCCCTGGCGGGAACATAAAAAGGCATCAATATGAATGTGTTCATATGCGTGGGTAGGCAAGGAAGCCGAGGATGTGTTCGGGGGGCTGTTGAAGGAGGCCAGAGACTTCTCCATCCGGTTGGAGACGCTCGGGGATCGAGTGGACAGTCTGCAGTTGAAAGTCACCCAGCTGGACCCCAAAGAAGAAGAAGGTAATTGGGAAGATAGAATGAAGTCAAAAGCATCACTTCAAAAACCAAAAAAATGTTGAATCACCGACATATTGTCACCTTTCAACAAAGCAGTTTTTTTTTTCTCCAGCATGTAAATGACATTGCATGTCATTGAAAACATCGCACCATATCAGTATATTGTATTATATTTACTTTTAAAACCAAGTACTGTTACTTGAAAATGTTTTTTTTTCCTTCCAAAAATTCACGCTGTTTGTGAACATGTTTTTTTTTTTTGTTTTTTTTTTTTTACTCATATATAACGTGCTCTAGACTAAAAACATTTTAACATCCCAAATCATTTTGAAGTCTTGCCACACATTTCACTCAAACGTAACCCGTCACGCAAGGCATTTATTGTCAGTTTGAACGCCAGGAGGCACTGTTACAGGAATCGCAGATCGTGGAATTTGCCGCATATTTCAAAGATCTCTGCGTAATTAAAAGCAGTCAAGGTGCGGAATGTTACATTTACGTGCAGATTTCATCCTGGCAGCAAAATGTCGTGGTCAGTATTGAAGCATTTTTATGATAATGGTGTCACCTGGAAGTAGCACCTGGCCCCTCAGTTACAAACGTTATGAAAAGAGTCGATAAAGCCCCTACGCTGAGCGGTGAACAATTGGGAGTGTTTTTGCGGCCTTGAACGAACTCAGATGAGAACATTCGCCGCCTTTGCGAATACTCAGAATTGTTCACCACTCAGTGGGCTCGGGGCTTCAGGAGACAAGGAGCTGGAAGGATCAAATGGCAACAACGGGGCATGTGTGTGTGTGTCTGTGTGGCCCAGTTTCTTTGCAGGCCATCACCACTCGCAAGGCATTCCGCAGCAGCGTGATTCAGGACCAGCAGATGTTCACACGGCCCTCGCTGCCCATGCCCGTGCAGGACACCTACATCACGTGCGACCCGCCTCCGCCGCTCAACTACCTCAGCCCATACCGGTACGTCGCACTTGACCGGCCTCCACTCTGCATTATCCATCGAATATAATATTATAGAATCAGAGAAATTGCATGGATGGATGGACGGATGGATATTTTAGACCATAGAGAATGTTGCAACAATAAATTGGTATTTACAAAAAAAAAAGAAAAAGAATGTTGCTTTGGCAAGGTAGCATCATTTCTACCGTGCATTTCATGCACAAGGTAAACTCGATGGGCTTCACGTCATGGGAACTACATTTAAAAGCATTTACACACATATATCACTAAAATACATTTTAAAAACAAATTAAAATAAAAAGTAGCTTCCTAAAAGAATGTGCATTGGAAGAAACAGCTTTTTGAAAATTAAAAAAAAATGCTTTGAAAGACTTGTCAGGTGGGGGGGGGGGGGGTTTAACCGGGATTTAGAGGCAAAAAAAAAAAAGTACCCCACCTACCTAAGGGCCATATGTCAAAACAATTTTTTTTGGGGAAAAAATACTATCTTGAAGAAAACAAGTTTTACCAGAATTTTTTTCCCCAAGAAAACATTCCAACATTACGAGATTAAAGTCAAAATTTAACAGGGGAAATTCATTGTAATAAGCAAATTTCGAAATCGGCATTTTGTTAACACTATATTTTTACTATATGAGAAAATGACACTTTTTTTTTTTTAACCACAAAATGTGTTTATTTATTTATTTATCTATCTATTTGCCAGCATGTTCTAAGGTCTCCCATTATGTTCTCTGCTCGAATATGATACAGCGATGATGGAAGGGAGGCCCTCAAATTTTACACGGATCCCTCCTACTTCTTTGACCTGTGGAAGGAGAAGATGCTGCAAGACACCAAAGACATCATGAAGGAGAAACGAAAGCACAGAGTGAGCGGCACGCACCACATCCCGCAATTTCCCTCAAACAGCGCCGGCAGTCGCCTCATTTGACGGCACGGTTCACCAAATAGCTGTAATTACGTCCGCTTACAAGGGGCCCATTCGAACTCATGCCTTGCTATTCCAAACAGTATTCAAAAAAAATAAAAAATCTAGAGCAGCGGTCGTCAAACTTTTAAGTACCACCCAAAAAAAAAAAATGCTTTGCTCTCCCAAGTACCAATCTCATCAGCAAAAAATCCAAGACAGCAAAAGAAAACAACATTCATGAGTAAATTTCGTAAAGTGTGCATGCGTTTATCATTTCAAATAGCGAATAGGACCTTAAAAAAAAAAATTCCATATTAAATCGCAATATTGAGAATGAGAATCGCCAATGGAGGATTTTCCAAAATGGTTCAACTTCAGGACACTCTGACGTGATGTCCTTCGACATTCTTTGAGTCTGTTTAATAACCAATGATAATAAACAGGTCGGAGGTTTACTCGCGTCAAAGTTACCTACTATATACATGTTCGTCACTTCATATATACTTGAACACCCTTGCAGCACTTAGTGATACATCAGCATCTAGTGGGACACCAAAAATCACTCAATGACACTTTCAAACTGCACATTTTAAAAAAAATAAAAAATCCAGTACAGTACATTTGTTAAACACAGTTCAGTTGTATTTAATTTTAAAGTACAATCCATTTGCATTGAATATTTTCAAACTGCTCACCCCCCCCCCCCCCCCCAAAAAAAAAAATTGCGGCAACATATACCTGACTACTGGTTAAAACCCAATCCCTCAACTGTGTCGAGCAGAAGGAGAAGAAAGACCACCTGAACCAGCGGACCCTCAACCCGCGTAAGATCAAAACCAGGAAGGAGGAGTGGGAACGCCGCAAGATGGGCGAAGAGTTTGTGGTGCCCAAGAACGAGATGATGTAAGCGGAAATGACACTCATTAGCAGATTTGTCTTATCAGTCCATCTGTACACAAACAAGCGCGGCCATTTTGTTTGGTTTTCCCCTTCCTGGCCATGTGAGCGCCATAATCACGAGGCGGACGATTAGTGTGCATTTTGGAGGGTGGCGTCTTGTGTTTTGTGTTTTGAACAGGCGGACAAAAGGAATGACAAGTTATGGTATTTCATTTTCCATAATAGAGGCCGTCATTATCCCTAAATAAATGACACTTGGCCATTAAATGTGGCATTTAAGGTGCTTACAAATGGCATAAACAACTCAGTGTTTTTTTGGGGGAAACGTGGACGGAACTTATTTTATACAACCTCGTCAAAGTTAAGTGCACATTTTCACGATTTCAATTGCTGCGGTTTAAATCTTGATTTTTCAAGATAAAGCTTAGATTTTCTCAGATAAAAACTTTTTTTTTTTTTTTTTGGACTCAATTTGTTGGCCGTGTCTTTTTTCAAGAATAACTTAAATTATTTTGGGCAGAAAAAATTAAATTTTCATCTAAGGTTGTAAGAAAAAAGTCAATCTTATGACAGGGGGAAGTTATCCTGCTCTGACAAACAGGGTAAAAAATTCAAGCTCCCTGGTAGAGGTCATGAAGCACAAATCAATGAATGGTCCTGTGTTGCGTTCTAGGAGCTCCTTGGAGGGTCTGAACGGCAGTCTGGGATCTGGCGACGAGGGCCTGGATTTGAGCACGGGCTCCTACGCGTACGATCCGCTGCCACCGCCCGGCGCCGATGACTTTCTGCCTCCGCCGCCTCCCGACATGTCGTAAGTTGTCCTTTGGGTCACGAAACACAATTGGGGATCTGGCTGCGTTCACATTCAAGCTCCGTAGCTTGTAACTGTATCCAACTAAGTGTAACCGAATAACTTACGCCTATCTTATTAATAACTACAGTCAAGCAAAATAAAAGTGGAGAAAAAAGGTAGAACAGCTGAAGTTTATTTTTTGTTGATCTGAGGCACTTGAAAGAGTTGCAGGTGTGTACTGAGTTCTTTTTAAAATGACTTTGAATGTGATTGGTTCATTCTGAGCTTATCTAACTTTCTGGAGCGAAGCAACTAAAGGCAAAAAAAAGTCAGGGAAAAAAGCCTACCAGAACAGCTGAAGTTTAATTAGGGTTAACCAGAGGCACTTTGAATGGTAGCAGGTGCGCAACGACTCCCGTTTAACCTGAGTTGGAAAGTGGTTAGTTCATTCTGAACACACCCACGTTCCCAGTGATGTGAGGGTGTGCACACTTTATAGCAAACACTTGCGTAAGATTTTTTTTTTCCCACTTGCGTTGTCCACGCCATAAGTGCTTATAATGTAAAAAGTATCTTTTCTTTTTCTTGGTTAGAAAAAAAGAACTGCGTCTATACAGTACATTGTCGTGTACAGGTACGGCGACGGCGGCAACCAGAAGCGCATCAGCATCCTCAGCCCCAACCACCCGCCGCCAGCTCCTCCTGTGGCTTCCCCTCCGTCCAACTCTCGCCCCCTTTCGCCGCCATCCTTCAACGCTCCTGCCCCCCCTCCTCCTCCCGGCGCTGCGCCAGCAGCGGCCAGCGCGGCTCCCAAACATCAGCCCGCCCCCGAGGGCGACGCCCGCAGTGACCTGCTGCAGGCCATCAGACAAGGTAAGCCGCGAAGGCGTCCTCACTTCTGATTGGCTCAATACGCTGTGAAAAAAAAAAAAAGAGGAACAAGAACAAAGTTCCATGTTAAAGAAGAAATCATTTTTTCCCCCAAATATCGTAGATGTAGTACAGATATAAATATTTAGGTTTTTCTTTTTTTCTTTTTTTTTTTTTTCTTCAAAAAAGTCGCAATATAAGACAAGAGTATGATGATGAAAAAGATTTGGATTTTTCTGAGGTAAAAAGTCACGATTTTTTTTCCTAGTCTTGTGAAAGAAAAAAAAGTATCTTTTATTGAAAATATTTGATATAATATTAAGAGATTTTTTTTTTTTTTTAATATATATGTATTTCCCAAATGGGACTTTTCAATTTTTAGATGAGATGTATTTTGCAAGATTGAAGGTCGGGTTTTAGCTTTTAATTGTTGTCGTTGTATTTGTCTACCTCGTAAAAGTTACAACTAATATTCGAAGAGTGAAATTGAAATTTGTCAAGGCCGCCGTTTCCCTAAGTTGCACTGCTGTTGTCCAGGCTTCAACCTGCGCAAGGTGGAGGCGCAGCGGGAGCAGGAGAAGCAAAATCACTTCGGCAACGACGTGGCCGCCATCTTGTCGCGGCGCATCGCCGTGGAGTGCAGCGACAGCGAGGACGACTCGTCCGAGTTCGACGACGACGAGTGGTCCGAGTGACGGTGCCTTCCTCCGCCCGTCTTTGCCGCCATTGCCTTCAGGTTAGCACAGAAGGAAAAAGTCCACCAAGTCTCAATCACATTCCTTCACTTGTTTCTATTTATCTCATTGATTTTCATTCCTGCCATAACGGCGGTGTGTCTTCTCTAATCAACACATCGTCTTTAAGAACCTCCCCCTTTTTTTCGGGGGGATTATTCCAAGTGTAATATTATACAGCAGTTTTAAGTGCGACACAAAGGGGAAGTCACAAACGAAACACAAATGCGTGACTCGACATGGAATTGGCCAAGTGACAAAATGGTGGGAACCACCTGATTCTCAAGTGCCTTTTTTTTTTCCATTTAATATATAAATTCAATTTTGTGTCTGTGTATTCACATGCAAATCACTTTTCCAAAGGGATGATGTAGTTTTCATTTATTCACGCTCCCAAAGACTGTCAACAAAAAATGATCTTGTTTAAAAAAAAAACAATTATAATAATAAATTTTGAATTTATTCCCCTGTCTCATGTTGTGATGTCTGACATGCCTGACTTACTTTTTCCGAAATGTAACAGATGGTTGTTTTCGCGGGAGGGAGATCATCTGTATCCATACTTTGTTCCATAACAGTCGAATGAATCAATACTGAATAGTCATCTTTTTGGGGGGAGTGGGGGTCAGATGTTAAAAAAATAGTCTCATCATTTTAATCTAGACACTCATATATTTGCATTTTTAAAAAATTTCATCAGATAATGGATGGATCTTCATCTAGCAAGGATGACTCTTTATCATAAAACCCACATAGCTTTTTCCATAAATCTTTTGTAAATTCGCGATTAAGTCCCATAAAATTTCAAGAATATATCTCCCGTCATATGAATCCAAAAGCATTAATGCAACCTCGAGCACTTCCCCGCGTGCTAAAAGCGTCGACGATCCCCCGAAGGAAGAATGCTGACATCATTCAGTAGGGGAAAAAAAAACCCCAAAACATTTATTATACATCAGTATAAAATATTCATTTGACAAAAAGATTGTGCAACACACGGTCCCAATGGCTGAAAAAGTGCCTTGAAAGGGGGGGGGGGGGAAGCATGTGCAAAATAGAATCTGAGCTGTCCATCTGGAACATTGGAACACACAATTCAAGTACGTTACATTATTATTGGTATTAGTCAGCCTTTGGATTCAATTAACTCAACATGACTTTCACCCCCCCCCTCCCCAATCGCTGCATGACCGCACAAATGTCATTTGCATCAGCTTTTATTTACGAGCGGCGGCCGGCTGATTGTTTTGACTCTGCATTATCCTGCGTCGCTACAACAGGGCTGAGTGTAGGCAGGCAGGAGGCAGAAACAAGTCTGGTAGTAGTGGGAGTTCCTCCAAGATGGCCGCTGGCCAGGACAGTTCAGAATGTTCTGATGAGGGAGGGAGGACTTCACGTCCTGGTTCCAAAAAAGAAAAGTGCTGCATTCATGTAAAGGGAGAGGTGGGGGTGGGGGGGCTTGAAAGATTTCACGCTCCAAGCGCTACTTTGTGTTTAGCGCATGTCTGGCATAGATTGTGGTGTTTTGGCAGACCCCCCCCCCAAACCCTCCCCACTTCATTCCTCTCAAGATTTGACTCCGATATGTTCAACATAACAAATGTATTCATTTTTAACAGTGTGGACCTCTTCCAAGACCAAACAATGCTTATTTAGGGGGGTATCCAACCCCTGCATAGGTCTGAATTTTGTCATGAGAAAAACGACATGACAGCGAAATCCTGCATTGACACTAAAATTATGGCTTTTCCTTGACTAATTTTCAGTTCCTTAGCGAATGGAAGAAGTCAACATGTCGCTGGATTTGGCTTTCAGTCATCAAATTTGGCTGGGTGGAAAATAACAGAATGCGAGTTGTTGTTGCCTGGCGGATTTCAGCAAATGGTCAAATTTAACTATGCCGTGAAGTTGCTATGGAATTAATTGTACCACGAAACCCTTTTCTCAGATAATCCAGCTCGGAGAAGAGAAACTGCAAGAAAAGTGCACTTTTTTTTTTTTTTAAATCTGCCATTCGTCTTCAATGAGGTAAACGTTCTGAATGACTCAATATTGCACAGAAACAGGCAACTCTGGCATGTTATCCTCCAAAACACTATGGCAGGTACGTATCACCCCAAGATTTAGCATTTATTTTCCCTAAAGCAACAGTAAGGATTTTATCACCAGATTCATTCATCATGAATCATTCATTGCCTCCATCGGAAAAAAAAGAAAACAGGATTGTCGGTAAATATTTTCCAAAGATCCATAACTTTTTTCTTTTTTTTTTAAATTTTACCAGATTTAGGATTTTTTTTTTTTTACCCAGCTCATGCTTCACGCCTGCCTCCTCACATTCATAATTTTTCTCCCCCTCAGATCCAGAATTTCCACTGCCCTAGAACGAGGCCTCTCCTCACCCCAAACCGCGGAGTTTTCTCCCCCGGATTTTACAATTTCCTGTCCTCAGATCTCTGATTGCGTCCAAGTGTTCCTCATGATCGAGTTGACGCGGGGCCCCTACACATCCACGGGGCAGTGCAGTTGGGCAGTCTGCCTGCGTGGGCAGCAGGCCTGCAGCAGAACCTTGCGTATGTCTTTGTTCCTCAGGCTGTAGAGTAGCGGGTTCAGGAGGGAGCTAAAGGTGGCGGGCACCAGTGTGGCGTAGGTGTACAGCGGCGGACTGGAGGCGTCGCCCAGCAACCCCCACAATGAGAAAGGCATCCAACAGCCCACGAAAACTCCTAGAACCAACACCAACCGGGAAAACCCCCGCCCCCCGCCATGCTTATTGGCAAACGACTGGCTGGAAGGCAGGAAGTGCCTCTGAGTGGCGATGGCGTGGGCATGGCGCCGTGCCACCCGGCAGATGCCGGCGTACAGCTGAAGGGTGACCACGACCACTACCAGGAAGCCGCCGCACAGCAGCGACAGGTATGTCCTAGTGAGGGGAGGCGCAACTGAGCACGAAGCTCGCTCATCCAGGCAGTTCCACCCCATGGCGGGACCCGCGCCCATGACGCAGGCGCCCGCCCACACCAGGAGCAGCAGCAGGGCGGCACGCCGGCGAGATTGTCCTGAGCCGTAAGTGAGGGCGTGGCTCAGCGAGAGGTAACGGTCCAGCGCCACGCCCATCAGGCTGCACAGCGAGGCGGTCAACGAAGTCACCAGAAGCCCCGATGTCACCAGCTCGGACCAATCGCTGGGCTCCAGGCAGAACAGGAACAGGAAGTGAGTCACCAAAGCCACGCCCGCCAGGAGGTCGGCCAACCCCAGGCTGGCCAGAAGCAGGAAGACAGGTGCACGCAAAGACGGCGTGGCGAGGATGGTTGTGACCACCAGGGCGTTCTCGGCAGTGATGACGGTTCCCGAAACGCACAGGGCCACGCCCCACGCTGTCAGGGCCGGGGTTTCCCGAACAGGCGCGTTGCCCCCTTGGTGGTCCAATGACAGTAAGGCGTCCGCGCCCGAAGACTCCTCCCACCGCAGCTCGGACGCATTCAGTCTCATGACTGCCAGACCACCACTCAAACCTGAGGAAATGAAAATTACTTTTACTTTCATTTAGACTCTTGTCACTGTTCCTGGTACCTCCATCAAGGATATTCTTTTTTTTTTTGTTGGCAGAACTACACCCAAAATGACCTGGAATGGTTTCTGTCACACATGATGGAAAGGAAAAAACGCATGAAAATTTGATCTGTAGATATGTATTTTCACCAGTCAGAAATTGGGCCAAAGTAAATCCTGGATCCATAGAACCTTCATCTTAAAATGCAAAGATCCAGGATTGTTTTCTAGTTTCAGGAAGTTTTTATTTTTTCTTTTGTTTCCCTCCTTCCCATTTTTATCCTCCCAGATCTGGGATTATGTTCCAGGTTCAGGCTTTCTAAGATGTCTTATTTTCTTCCTTGATCCAGGTTGTCCTTCCACATCTTGTCTCAACCCCCCCCCCCGCCCCCCAACCACCAAAAAAAACACCATCACCATCCTTCCAGATCTACAAAAGCTTTAGAATGTCCGTGTCCCCCTCACGCCCACCAATTTAAAAATACAGTACTGAATTTTATTACCCTAATGGCAATTGCCCGAGTCAGTTAAAATCATACATACAGTATACATGTCCCCCCCCCTTGTTTTCTGAAAATCAAGACTTGCCTAACCGAAAACCCAATCCTAATATAATTTTCTGTTTCCCTGCAGGCAAAATACCAGAAGCCTCTGAAGCTGTATTTCCAGTCCAAACTCGTGTTATTGCTTGTGTGATGAAGTGCTCGGGAGTGTTGCCCCCCTCCCACAAATGTCCAGACACAGTGTTCAGCCCATGGACACACGCGCATTCCAGCGTGCCTCCCCACTGCCAATTAGGTCGATCTTGCTGTCGTGCGCAGACTCGGTTATAGTGCGAGTCAATCATCCCATCATGCATGGATTATGATTATTTTATTATGAAGTCCGAATTAGGAGGTGACGTGTGGTGTTCATGATAGGATGCTGGGTGGAGGGGGGGGGCGTATTGCACCCCTTGTTGTGTAACCTGTGTGCCACTGTGTGCGAATAATGTACAATATACTGTATATCTATATAGATATATAGATATATCTGTGTGTGTGTATACGTAATAGATGTAGTAAATAAAATGTGTATCGATATGAATAGATATGTCTGTATAGATATATAATATTAATAATTTACCTGGTGAAAAAAATGGTTTGATTTCCTCTTTTGCTGACGTTTCTAATGTAAAGATCCAAAAGGGTGCAATGAAGCCGACTCCTTTTTTCTTCTTTCTCTCTCTCCGTCCTTCATGCACTTCCGGTCGGGAAGATCCGCTCGGTGGTCCCGCTCCTTTCCAGCGGACGAAAATCTTTTTTCCCCCTCCTCCTTGTGGTTGCTCCAAAGCAAGAATGGATGCTGAAGCTCCGCTCGCGCTATCCACAAGAGCGCGGCCGTGACGTCACAGCCAGGAGACGCCTACCAATCAGGAGGCGAGGATGCGGGAGAGGGGGAGTGGGTGGAGTGGCGTGTATGTGGAGTAATTTCATTCAGAAAAATGCGGCATCGACGAAGACACGCCCACTGCGGTCCATCGCCATTGTTGTGCTCCTTTTTGGTAAGTAATGTCCACGCGCGTAAAGAATCTGTCCTTTCTAATTGAGACCACTCTCCAAACCCTCCTCGCCCCCACCACCCTACACTTTTTTTTTTTTGTCCTAGTACTGTCCACGGTCCTGAAACGCAGTAATGACTCATGGGTGCATTCGACGGCCACTGCATTAGGTACACCTGACATCACCTTAACGGGCTTCAAATGGCATTTTTATTTTTGATGATGAAAATAATGACGTATTTTTTTAACAGGCCAGCAGGTCAAAATATTAGGGACAGCTCTCGGAATCATACAGCTAGTACACTGAACATGTTTTTTTTTAATAAAAGCATGTATTTAAATGATGTACCCGATAGGTGCGTGTGATTGTGTTTGGGATGCTATTTTAGGGTTATTTAAATAGAACGAGACAAAAAACAATTTTAACAGTATTTAAATCATTTTAATATACGTGATATGTAATCACTTCATTTTGGAAGTTATGCAACATTTCCTAAGGTCACCTGTTTATCTGCTACACCTTAAGTGTACTCTTGCTTCCCTCTAGCGGGCAGACACGTCCACCCCAAAAAAGTCCTGCGAATTAAACATTCTCATTGATGAATGTATGAATTGTGTTTTATTAGCGTGAAGTCCAAGGTCACGGAACAAATATGTGAAAGGCAGAGAGGCTTCCCCGGCTTGACGGCGAGCGTGGGTGCCCGCATCACCAGTGGGCGGGGCTACGCGTGGAAGGGAATCACGACCATATAAGGACAATTCCTGCCTGTGAGGTGACGTCGTCGGCGCGTGACTCTCCCAAATCGCCACAAATCACCTTCACTCACGTATGCAAATGACTGCATTGTGAATTGATTTTTTTTTTTCCAGTGTGGATGTGATAGAGGTGGGTGTTGGTGGTGTTGGTGGGGTGTCGTGACACCAAAATGAAACACCTGAGTCTGCAAGTGTGAGATATGGATGAGTCACAGCAGCGGCAGAGTTAACCACCCACCAAACAAGCTAAAACCACCTGGCCTGGAGCATCCACGTACTCTATATCAGGTGTAGCTCTCCTCCCCCATAGTTGACAAGTATCACTTCGAGATTTCTGTACCTTTAGTTTATTCTCAAGCCATCCACCCCGAGATCGTTCAAGCCGATAGCTATCAATATTCGAACTATCTTGCCATAGTAAACCTTTTCATCTCAATCTTTTCAAGAGTCGTCTATTCTGCAACTCTCTCTTCTTGATCTCTCTATTTTGTATTTATTCTAGAGCTATTTCCCGACCCAGCCTCGAGATGGCCTCCATCTGTCTGTTCTATTCATGCATACATTCTCAAGCTATGTTTCGACCCTGGATCACTATGTCCTTGATATTTGTATTCCAGAGCTATGAATTATAGATTTTGCAATCTTAAATCTAGTCCCGAGCTGTTCTAGATTGACCAAATTCTGATTTACTATTCTGGATTTAGCTGTCTGTACTCTCGTTCTACCATCTGTTCTAGATCATCGACCATCTATGATAAATCGCCTATAGGTATTTTCATTCATTCATTCATTCATTCATTTTCCAATCTGCTTATTCTTACAAGGGTCGCGGGGGGGGCGCTGGAGCCTATCCCAGCTGTCTTCGGGCAGCAGGCAGGGGATTCCCTGAACCGGTTGCCAGCCAATCGCAGGGCACACAGAGACGAACAACCATCTACGCTCGCAATCACGCCTAGGGACAATTTTGAGTGTTCCATTAACCTGCCATCCATGTTTTTGGAATCTGGGAGGAAACCGGAGTACCCGAAGAAAACCCACGCAGGCCCGAGGAAAACATGCAAACTCCACACGCAGAGGCCGGAGCTGGAATTGAACCCGGTACCTCTGCACTGTCAGGTCGACGCGCTAACCACTGGACCACCAGGCAGATATAGGTATTTTATGTCACAAAATTTTATTTACAACTTCACGGTGTGTGTGTGTGCGTGTGCGTGTGCGTGGGTGTGCGTGCGCTTCTTTCAGGTGACCTGAGGTGGGTATTGGTATGGTTGCCTAGTGACCAAATTTGGATCACATTACACATGCACCCCCCCCCCCCCCCCCTCACACACACACACACACAAGCGCACACTCTTTCTGTTCTCTTGGTGCCATTGTCACATCGCTCTTCAGCACTCAGCCTCCCGGACGAATTTTTATCAATTTTTTTTGTGTTGTTGTCTTTTTGATAGTTTTTTTGTTTTGTTTTCTGTTTGTCACTATAGTTTGGACCGGAATGCAGATTCTGTCCATGAAGATGATGTTCTGCACGCTGCTGTTGCTGCTGCTGGCAGTGACCTCCTGCGTGCACTCCGAAGCGGGTAATAGTCGTTATTCTGACTTTATTGACGATCTGTTCATCAAGTTTTGCTTCACTTGATTGACAACTCTTGTCCTTCCTTTAAGATTGTAGTCAAGCTCAGTCATGTGACCTCTGCGTTGGCAACTCCATGCTCAATCTGACCGGCTGCGTATGGAGGCTGTGTCCTGATGGTAAAACACGCACATGTTGACAATAATTCTACCATGGCAGGGACTGTAACGTGAGCTGCTGTGCTTTGTAGCCTGTGAATTATTCAGCATTCCACAACACACACACACACACACACACACACACACACACACACACACACACACACACACACACACACACACACACACACACACAAAGACGTTGAAGTCATCTTGTCACTCTCAGGTAACGACACTGGCATGTGCGTGACGGACGAGGGCAACACGGCCGACAACTCCAGAAATTGCAGCTGGACCAGGGTGTCAGAGCTCTGCACGGGTACAACTCCGCCGCTCGATGGTGCAGGACAGCTTACCATGTTATCAGGTTACAAAGGGCATGAAAGGCTTAATGCAAACTAAACAATGGAAGCATCACTCACGTAATGGAAGACTTGCTTGCGGACAGAAAGCTTCTAAGGCGGTGGTTCTTAACCTTGTTAGAGGTACCGAACCCAACCAGTTCAAATGCACATTCACCGAACCGTTCATTTGCGAAAAACAAAAATATTTGATAAATTCAAGACATAAAAAACGCATTTATTAAAAACTGAAAAAAAGTAATTAAAATTTCAACATTTAAGTATAATTTTTTTTAATTTTACGACATAGTATCACGACAATCACACGTTGACTACTGAGCGAACTAAATTTCCCGCAGCACTGATTGGACAAGCAATATAATGTGATCATCTGCAGCCAGCGATGGCCAAGCGGGCGTATCATAACTAATTGACATGTTGTTGTTTGGGTCTTACCCTCCATGGCAGAGGCTTCGTTGAACCCCTGAGACAGATTCACCGAAACCCAAGGGTTCAAACGAACCCAGGTTAAGAACCACTCTTCTGAGGTGTTGCCGGTGGACAGGATATAGCGAGCCAGGAGAGTTGATAGCCGAGAAGGAGACTTGCTAGCATACTGTAAAAGTTGCTCGTAGACACGACAATTTTTTTAGTCAGGACAAGTTGGAGGCGTTGCTGGTGTACAGCAATTGTTGCTAGCAGGACGAATTTAGAGTGGACAGGAAGAAATGTTAGCGAACGGTCGGAATTGCTACCAGGAAAAGTAGCTAGCGAACAGGAAGAATTAGCAGTGCACATGAAGTGTTGCTAATGTTTTGGAAGAGTTCCCAGAATGGACAGGATGACTTTCTAGCAAATAGTAAAGAGTTGCTAGTGGACCAGAGATTCAAAGGCATTTACTAACTGGAAGAATTGGACATTGTAGTTAATGGACAGGAGGAGGTTCTCGTGAACATGAAGCGGTTCTAGCTAATTGGAAAAGTTGCTTGTTGACAGCAAGAGTTGGAGACCTTGTTAGCGGGCTAGATGAATTGCGAGGAAGAAGTTGCTACCAGTCACAAAGAGTCACGAGCAGAGAGGAGAAATTGGCAGTGGACAAAAGGAATTCTGGGTTGCTCTAACTGTTAGAGCAACCCAGTTCACTAACGTCACATTAGTTAGATTCTAACTAATGTGTCGTTTTGTGATGAGTCATTTCACTTTATTCACTTCTTTTATTACATTTGGCTATCGGTATTCATTACAATGGGGAATTGCTAATCCAGCAATGACGCACACACATACTAATTGTGTTTTTTTTTTTTGCAGTGGTGGAGACAGTGGCTGAAGGAGGCGGTGACTCAGGTAAACAGAGTTTGCATCATGCCATCCCTGCGCTTTTGTGTCCAGGCCTCCCAACTTACATAATTACAGTGAGCCCATCTCTCTAATGTTTAGATTAGATTAGATTAGATTACATATCCTTTATTTGTCCCACACTGGGGAAATTTACAGCCTTCAGGTTTGCAGGCGCGGGCGGCAAAGCGCGGCCCCAGCTTTCGCCTGCCCGCTTCAACTTGTCCAGCTTCATCGGCGGCGTGGTGCTGGTCCTCTGCCTGCAGGCCGGCGGCGTGCTCGCTATGCGCTTCCTCAAGTCCAAAGAGCAAAGTGACTACGACCCCATGTGAGACACCCCAACATATTCTTCTGAATATTTTCTGTTTGCGAGAAATCGATAAACCGGTGATTTAGTGAGATGGATACATTTTAATACAGTTTAGAGAGGAAAACCGGTAAATTTAATGCAACAACTACTCTTGAAGATTAATATATAAACGCAGTAAATGCGGCAAAAGTGTGCTAAACAGCGGCCTCTTGTGACCATATAAGGAATAGTGGCACTCTGGTCACGTCGGTCCAACATGCCAACTCGCCTTCAAATAAGTGTGTGTGTGTGTGTGTGTGTGTGTGAGGGAGAGAGATTACACCAGCGGCTCAATAACAGCATAAAATTAAGGCATAATAATAACCATAGAAAACTAATTTTTGTAGCATTAGCATAGCTACAACGACTCGCTCACTCATTGTTGATGGACAAAAATATGAGGACATTTTGTCCCCATACTTTTGTCCACCTGATGTTCAATTTGCATCATCCGCGTGCGTGCGTCCATCCACAGAGAGCAGCCTCAGTAAGGTGACCGAGCGGCGAGGAAGGATGACGAAAGGAAGAGTGACTCACGGGATGATGACGACAAGACACCGAATTTTTTACGACTGGTCGCCATGATCCCCTTCTCCCCCCCTCTCTCTTCAAGTAGGACTGGAAGCAAATCACTTCTCCTCAACTCTTATCATTTGTGTGTATTTTTGTGGTGAATTGTGTTTAGAGAGGATTTTTTTTTCTGTAGATACACCCGACATGAAGAACTCTCATGTGTACTAACATGCTAATCGTAACGACGGTGGATTATTTGTTTTCGTGTCGTTACTGTAATAAAGTTAGGAGATGCGGGAGGAACATGTCTACTTTCTGCTTCCCTTTTTAGGTGTTCCCTCCACATGATGCAAACAGGAAGAGTTGCTAGTGAATAATATGAGTTGTTAGCATCCAAGAAGAGTGGAGGGCGGGGTGGGAATGCCAGGATGCCAAGGTTGAAGAGCTGATACCAGACATCAAGCAGCGGAAGAGTTTCTGGTGACTGGACTTGTTGGTAGTACACAGAAACAGTTTGTAGCGCATAACAAGAGTTGATAGAGGGGCCAGAAGAATTGCGAGCAGAATGAAAGAATTGGTAGCAGTCAAGAAAGACAGGTGAGACTTGCGGAATTGGAAAACTTTGAAGGATTGCTAAGTGGACAGGTAGAGTTGACAAAAGGGCAGAAGAGTTTCGAGCAGACTGCTCCAGGAATAGTTACTACTGTAAGCTCATGTGTGTCAGTACATATTTTGTTTTGTTTTTATCTTCTGTGGTTAGTTCATCTGCATACTTCTATATTGTCAGTTGATTTCTCAATTCCTATTGGATGTCCAGTGTGCATTGAGCTGGAGTTCACCCCGCATAAGGCTTCCACGCGGGCACTTTCCAGGACCCCCTCCCTCACTCCCAATCTGGACCAGAACCAAAAGCCTTGAATGGTCCTTCACAGAACTCCAGTGACCATGGCCAATGTCCAATTTTGTTGACAAAAGAAGAAGGGGGAGGTGGGGGGTCGTTCTCATTCTAAGCAGTTCCTCCTTTCCCAGAATGAATGTTGCCTTCAGGTACCGTTGGATACTTGATGACTTGTCACTTTTATTTGCGTGTAGTGTTTTGTGTTTGAAGTCATACTTTCAGATGTTTCTTGACACCCCGGTCGGAGTTTACTGTTAAGGTAAATACACAGAAAAAAGAAATACACACATTGTGCATTTAAATACTTTCTTTTTGAAATATTAGTATTTGTTATTTCCCAGTCAATGGAAAACCCCATTCACAGTCTTGCACCGAATCACACGGCCCGAAGAGGCCGAAATACAGGAAAAGAAGTTCTTTAGTTTTGTTTACTATCATATTAATATATTATTTTACTTGTTACCAATTTATTTCCTGATTGCTCTTTGGGTTTTTATTTTAAAGCTGAGTTTTAGTAGTTCAATCGTGTTGATGAAATGTGATTTCAATCTCAATCCAAAATAATTGTGATCATTATTTGTTCCGTCATCACCCAGCCCTAATTCAAGAATTAATAACATCCTTGAGCGATACCAACAACCCACGCGCACCCTCCCTTGCTACAGACAGCAGAAGGCGTGTTCACCGAGTTGACAACACACTCAGACGCACTTTACAAAAAAAAAAACACGACAGACACATCCGCTCAGCGCAAGTTTTGATGCAAACTTTCCACGCATGGAGCTGCGCGAGACTGTCGACTAGAAGGTAAAGTAACTCCATTTTGTGTGCTTTGTCGTGCCGCTTTGCTTAACGTGTTATACTATCTCTTTAAAAACGGCGACAGGTGTTTCGTCTCACGCGTGAGCTGATGGCAAAGAGGACAAATATCGAAGGCGACGTTTCCTGGGAGTAATGGACGAACACGTAAACAAACGTTTACAAGGGAGACCTAAAAAGATAAATTTGCTGCAAAATGGCTGCTTGTCGCGCTTTTTTTTTCGTCCTTTTGCGTCGCCTCAGGTGCAGTTGATGTTAGCTCAGTTCCTGTTGGACCAACCGAGGCGCCCTCACTGCGCACGCGCCAATTACCGCCTCTGCCGCCTGGAGGCAACACACATACTCTATATGTGTACAAACGTTTTTTGAGTGGACGTGAGCAGGAAGTAGACGCGAATTACTCAACCGGCTGCATTGAAAAGTTGCTGAGTCATCCCACAGACGTTAACGGTCGTATTTATTCCCATTTAACTGTCCCTATTGGTCTGAGGATGGCGTGTATAGTCGTCGACGTGCGGTTGTCGTCAATCACTTTCATGCTGGCTCATTCTTGCTAGCGAAGCATGGCCCTGCAACGAAATTTTATTTGGTATTCTGAAATTATCAATTATTTTCTTAGCCCATTGTTGCGCCTAGCTCATTGTTGCGCCATAATCAGAGTTCCTAGTGAGCAATTAGGAAGAGAAGAATTGCTAGACTTATTGAATAGCTGTTAGCATCCAGGAAGTGGTTCACTGATGGACAATATTAGCAAATATGAGTGTTTTTTGAGCCTCTGGGGGCACCGTACTTCTTGTGAAAAGAGCCCTCCAATCAACCTGATTCTGATTACGTTAAACTCCTTCTGCCTAGCAACAAATGACCAATAAGAAACGACTCTGAGCAAACGACTTTGTTGAAAAACGATTTCAATATCCTTATTTTATGATTCATTGGTATTTTTGGCCTTTATGACATGACAGATTTATTGATTGATTTATTTATTTTACAGGCATGGAGGCGAACGTGGTAGCTGACAGTGGCTTGGGGTCTCTGGACCTGAGCCACCTGACGGAAGAGGAGCAAGAGACCATTTTGCAGGTGCTCCTGCGAGACTTGGACCTGAGACGTCAAGACGAAGGACGAGTAAGGTCAGAGGTGAACCGCACCTTTAACGTCTCCCAGCAACCACAAAGTAATGTTGTCATCAAAGTTTGCTGCTGCTGTTGTTGCTTGTCAAGTTCTGTGGTTCACCTCAAAATGGTTGCTTTGTACCACAAAGGCTGACTTCCTATTTAATTGCAGGCAAGGGCGCTTGACTTTTTTTTGTGTGCGTTCTGTTATGATAGACCACACAATTTTGTTGATGAACAACAAATTGGGTGTTAATTAACTTTCAAGCCCTGGAATTTATTTCAAAATAGTCTATTTGAACTAAAATAAGCACCTTCCTGTTCAATTCCAGGTATGGGTCCTTGAATTTTTTTATTTTGGATGTGTCCGGTTATGCCACACAGGCGCCAATGTAACCAAGAGGACCTTTCCATTGCTGAAATTCTTTTTTTTTTTTTTTTTGGGTGTGTCCGGTTATGCCACACAGGCGCCAACGTAACCAAGAGGACCTTTCCATTGCTGAAATTAATAACATAAGTCACTACTTCCTCATCCCTCAAATGAAACGTTAAACCTCTTTGGGTGACATTTCAGTGAGGCAAGAAGAAGATGAAGCCGTTTGTAACCGTACAGAATAACAGGACACACCCACACATGCTTCCCTTTGAAACAAACCTCTTTGGGTGACATTTCAGTGAGGCAAGAAGATGAAGCTGTTTGTAACCGTACAGAAAACAGGACACACCCACACATGCTTCCCTTTGAAACGCTCTCTAGAATCTCATTTCAATAATGAGCCCGGTGGCCTTCTAAGGTAATCAAACAAGAATGTCGTCGTCGTCACATGTGTGTTTGCTGTGTCAACAGGATGCTGGCGCAGACCAAAGCCGATCCGGCGCAACTCCACTCGCAGTCGGGGGCGTGGTTCCGTGAGGCATCCAGCAGGCGACACCGAGGCCGTATGTGCGGCTCGGATCTGGTGCGCGCCACCATACGCCGTCGCCCGTCAAAGGTCAATGGTCAGTCTTCGTATTATCTCGACAAACTTTTGCTAATATGAAGCGAAGTGACCAATCGAGATTATTATTATTATTTTTTTCGGCTTCCTCTAGTAACCGAGTCGTTGGCGGTCAGCCTATTCAACGGTGACACGGACGAACAATCGAGCAGCCCCTGCCAGGAGGAGGCTGAGGCGCGATTGAAAGAGTCTGTGGAAGACATTCCAGAGTCAGTTTTTTTTCTGTTTTTTTCCCCCCCTCGCAAACAAGAATGTCGTCGTCGTCACATGTGTGTTTGCTGTGTCAACAGGATGCTGGCGCAGACCAAAGCCGATCCGGCGCAACTCCACTCGCAGTCGGGGGCGTGGTTCCGCGAGGCATCCAGCAGGCGACACCGAGGCCGTATGTGCGGCTCGGACCTGGTGCGCGCCACCATACGCCGTCGCCCGCCAAAGGTCAACGGTCAGTCTTTGTATTATCTCGATAAACTTTTGCTAATATGAAGCGATGTGACCAATCGAGATTATTATTATTATTATTTTTTTCGGCTTCCTCCAGTAACTGAGTCGTTGGCGGTCAGCCTATTCAACGGTGACACGGACGAACAATCGAGCAGCTCCTGCCAGGAGGAGGCTGAGGCGCGATTGAAAGAGTCTGTGGAAGACAT